CTTTTCAAAATTTACACCTTTTTTCCCAAGAGGTAATGTCCTTTTCTGTATTCACCAAAAAAATATAGAGATGGGGGATGGGGACGGAGAAAAGACGAGAACTAAGACTGGCGTGAGAAAGTCCTCGAAATCGACCACACCTGTATGACAACATAACTATCACTTCATTATGTTTTTTTTTAAGGTGATGTAGTAGTAATAGTAGTTATAGTAGTTAATATTGCAATGGTAAGAGTATTATTCACAATGTTTTCAGTTAATATGATACAAACATATGTAATTTTGATAGAATGAATTTAGCCTATCAAAGCCACTTTTCATGGTATACCAAGGCTATTTCAATACATTTTAAAGAATATTACATTATTAGTGATCGAGCTAGATCTTTATCCTATGTTGAATTTTTAGACTTTCAAAAACCTACAATTACATATCAGTGAATTAATTCTCATAATCTGAATTGTGTACAGTTTCAATAGTATCAACTGTTTCGTTTATTGAACAAACTAATTATGAAAATGTATTGTAAATGCATTATGAATAAAGTATCAATTGGAAAAATGTACTTCTTTAATATCACAAAATTTATATAAATATTCATTATTATAGAAAACTACAGTGAAAAACAGAGCAACGAAATATAATAACTGATTACTAAAGATTGATTGGTCTGCGATTAGAAGCAGGATGACCTTGGACAATTTTATGGGGTGATGGAGGTTGTTGAGTTTTAATTGATGTCATGAGTAGATGAATGTTAAACGACCATTGAAAACCTAGGAGCACTGGACGACCGTTTCGTCCTAGTGTGGAACTCCTCAGCAGTGCGCATCCGCGACCCCTCACGCGTGACTCAAACACAGGACCTTCGTTCTCGCGGGTCAACTCTTGAACTCTAGACCACTGAGCCGGAATCCAACAGTGTTAGTTCAACCGTGTCTATTATAGAGGCAGCTAGTCGCTGAAGACAATAGTGGATGGACATTAACACCGTTGAGCGTTCACTCGCGAGATCGAAGGTCCTGTGTTTGAGTCACGCGTGAGGGGTCGCGGATGCGCACTGCTGAGGAGTTCCACACTAGGACGAAACGGTCGTCCAGTGCTTCCAGGTTTTCCATGGTGGTCTAGCTTCAATTGACTCATGATCTCAACTACTGAAATTACTATAATATCCACAAAACCCCCTCCTGTTATTAATCTCTTATATCCTTAAAATGACTGATACGAAGTGAACACGATTTACGAGGGCTTTTTTCAGTGATTCTTCACTGAATTACCAAAAAAGCTATTTTATATTGATTTTGTGTAGTAGTTAAGTTTTTTAAGCGACAAAGTAAACACTAACAATTTTTATGTACATAATGAACAATTCGAAACAGAAACTTGTCGATGTTCAATAAATGAATTCTTTTCAAATAAATGATAGTTTAATTGCAAGTGTATTAGTCATTGTAATGTTCATGATGAGAAGCATATCACAACGATAACAACAAGACATTATTTTTCTCTTTTCTTTTCAATTGGTTTCTGATCCATATACGACTTACTACAATAAACTAATACTAATGGAGTAGTGGTATGACATAATAATGATGTAATTTCAAAACGATCATAAAAATGATATCAAATGATTGATTGAGTAATTCGAAGAAGGAGAATTATAATAATCCAAGTAATTATTCATAAGAATTTAAAGCAGCTAAAACAAATTTTTATTGTAATGACCGAAAAAGAGAGAGGGGTTGTACAAACTCTTTTGGAGTAAAGAAGTTGCATGTGGATTGCGGTAACTTCGGTAGTGTGCAAAAGACGAACTTATAAATCATGTGGAACATTTGATGTGATATCGTGGATCACTTTAAAAGCTTTATTCTAGTCAAACTGATATTTTGTGTCCAGCAAGTGAGCGAGAATAAATATTCTAGACACTCCTACCTGTACTTTGCTGATCTAAGATGAATGGTGTTCTGCTAAACAATCACGAACTTTTCGAACCATGTGTCCTATATTAACACCTCCACAGAAATTGTTGAATTGACAAATGCACATGGATTTGGTGAATGTAGGAAGTCTGGTTTTATTGGCAGTTCTCATTATCGGACGATTATAGAGAACCTCACTCAGTTTGGCCCCGGTGAGTATTTTCTCTAATCTTAGTGTTATTATTTCGTCGGTCGAGTCATTTAGCTACTGTAACTTCAAGAAGAGTAGCTATTGTTACCTTTCGTTTCATTTTCGTTTCAATTATGTGTTTGCTGATGAATTAAGTTGGTTATCCATTTCTACTAAGAACGTTGAGACTATTATTAATTCATCTTCAACAAATCGTTAGAGTAAATCATCTAGGCATGGTCAATTGGAATTTCTTTTGGGATTTTGATTGGTACAGAACCATAGAAATGAATAGATTATCGGGTTATGGATTTTCTACGTATCCTTCTATTTGCTGTTTGATCTAATCTTCTTGTTAGTCAGGCATCTGGGAATGATACGCTGTTGCTCCGTTCTCCCTAAAGCGTAGTAGGTGGGTGGATATTATTAACTTTAGAGGATAAATTAACCTTTTCATTTTGATTTTAAAGTACTATGAAAGTACCAGCTATGAAGTGATAATACGTTGCTTGCTGAATGACTGTGCTTTTAAGCGATCTATTTTCCAGTTTTGTTTTCTTTTACCCGAAAATTACTTATAAAAATATTCATCCACTGTAAAGATTTAAAATTTAAGACAGCTGTTAATTATCGTTTGTTCGTTTCCAGTTACAATGAACAGATGTAACAAAACATGGATATTAGTGCATTAGTACTTATAATTGTAGCAGAAGAAGGAGTAATTTACAACCTCAATGACAGTAATAACAATAATATATTCTTTGTTTGGAGTATAAGTGTACACTTATGGTAGAAAATTCTATGATAAAGTTGACCATATGGTACACGGTCACTCTGTTCATTTAGACTATAGCAAAACATTCCAACTTAGTCTGTAAAATATGATTACCATCATAGTTTTCCGGCGATAATAACAATGTTGCTGATAATAAACGATACCATAATTTTAAATGAGGTTGGAAGCAATAACAACACTAATTTGTAATGAGATTTGCAATATCCCCCACCACTCAGTAGAATTTAATTACAACGACTACTGTATATACAATGGTTTTAAAAAATCAGTCTATTTGGTGACAAACCAATACCAATAAAACAGTTACGTTCACAATTTATTCATGCGACAGATAGTCAAATTTTATTTGAATAAGCTACAAAAAACAGAATCATTATGCTACAAAAATGAAAGCCGTTATTTATGTACAGAATATTTAAGGGAATCAACGTGACTATACGCAAATTCTCAGTTAATGGATAGATAATCATGAATGAAAATAACAGTTACAAGATAGTCAATGATTATTCACTTCAGAATGTAATAACAACTACCGTCAATAACGTTAACAATGGTTGTCAATGGTCGCAGAAGTTGGGTGGCATAGCATAAACTGTACTTCCATTATATCATTTAGTAAGTTTTATTCCACGAATTTATTCTTTCTTCCCTGATCTTCTTAAACCTTAGTTTACCATTAATTATATTCAGCCTGCTAATTTGGTCTCTTTATGGGGATTTGGTATGGCAGCTTGGACAGATTCTCATTTATACTAAGTCCTTCATTTCCTCTGATTGAATTACCGCCCGGACGAACTAATGGATGACTAACTGACACTACTAATGCTGCTCCTCATGTTATTATTAATGCAGTTTGATGTTCAGTACTTTATACAGTAATCATATTGTCAATATTTGTTCAAACTGATTAAACCCGAATAGTTCATTTGTCGATTCCCCTACCTCTAGATTTGTATAAGTTTATTTTACAACTATTCTATGATTTTCTTCATTTTCAGTAGGTAAGATCACTTTTTATTACTTCGATAAATATCTACTTGAGGTTCACTCAAAAATAATTATTTCTAACAATACATTATGTAAGGAATTGATATCATATGAAAACAAATCTGCGTAATGCTAGTGTTATGACCTTTCAGTAATTCAGTGTTATCCAGCTGATATCAGCTCTTCGACTAATAACTGAAACACAAAAGTGTAATAGACTCATGCTACATAATCAAATTCAACAATCAGTATTACTAAATTAATTCAGTTAAATCTTCATTGAATATGTGACAACACTGAATAAATTTCCTTCTAGAAAATCTCATCTTCAAAAAAGTAATTGAAGAGTATATTTAATTAGCTGATGACTACTGTGGATGATTGTTAATAATCCCGGCAAATCTTGGAAATTAGCATGCATTGTGTGTCATTTCTACCTAGTTTGAATGATCAAATATATAAGTCTCTAACAATCTTAATATTTTTAGTGGGAAATTTCAAAACACCAAACTCATATGCAAATGTATAGGTATGCTTTAGTTTTTTTAAATAACTTTAAAGTATAAGGCTCCACTTGTATAATCATTGATTTTTTAAGATGGTGGAGAAGATTTGTAGCTCTGGCGGGTGATTTCGGTGCAGTTTCGTTCTCTGAGTTGGATGATGTGGTTGTTGAACTTTCGCCGTTCTTCTGAACGACATTACCAGCCCAAACTTCAGGTAGAAATGAAGTGTTTGAATTTCTCCACATATGATTCGTAGCTTGTCCTATCAACCTCGATCTTCATCGGTTATTGTTAATCTTCAATCTCTCATTGTCTACTTCTTTATTGTAAGATAGTCAAGAATTAGGGAAGTTTGCAATTCATTTGGGAAATGTGTATCTCAAGTGTTCACTAGTCAGTTTCGATGACTTTCATTAGTGACAACTAATTTATCAGCTTATTATTAAGCCACTTAAAGTGTTTAAAGTTGAAATTAACTATTCACACGACAATCAGAACAAAATTAGGTGAAAAAAATGAAATTTTAAAATAATCCTTTGATAATAAGTAGTCATTATCACCTATTAAATATTTCGATTAATATTTAATTATTCCCCCACTTAAAGGTTATTATTATTATTATTATTATTATTATTATTATTATTATTATTATTATTATTATTATTATTATTATTATTATTATTATTATTATTATACCCCATACTGAAATTTGTACGTTCTTGTTTAATGCCACAAACAGATGTAAGCACAGCAGTTGATCTCGTGATCATCTCCCCTATGTTTAACATTCCTTGAAATATTTTTTCTGAGGACATCTGTTTATAGTTATGGAAAAGTATTTTGACTGTTGAAATAATTGTTGGAATGTTAAAATTGAAAGGTTTATGCTGAGGTCGACACCAGTTGGGAAGTTACTGGCCTTCATAACAACGAGTAACGCGATTTCGTTAGGGACTAATGACACAACTTCTAAATCTTACCCTAAACCATCAACTTAGGATTCGCTAATCTACATCTTTAAATTTAAAAATTTACGACAGAGTAACAACATAATGCTAATCAATAATGGTAATGACTTCTGAGAAGAGTCAAAAAAGATTATGTTTTGAAATTTTGGTATTTATTCCTTTGATAAACTTGTTTATATGCCTTTGATTTAGTGGTACTTCTATACAGTTTCATGTAGTTTTACCCTTCATTTTACCATGATTTTTTATTTGGTTAACTACTAGTGAGTTTAAATATTAAATAAAAGCTGCAACCCACTCAACCAACCTCTTGTTTTTCTGACTGGATATTTGAGAAGGTAAGAATATGAATAATTATATCAATAATATGGAACGAATGCAGTAACAGAACCCGTATCCATAGTATACGTAATTTGACGAACGGATGGCTGTTTGTGTATTCGTGATAATTCATGTTGTAACCGATTACTGTCTAATAAGCTCAATTATGACGATTAAAATTGCGCATGAAATAATGACACTATAAATACTGTATGAAAAACAGTGATTATTCATAATTTTTCAATCATTTAAACAAATGCATAATTAAGAAATATTCAGTTTCAGCTGACAAGTGAATGAACAAAATTAAGGAATAAACTCAAGTTAATTTACATGTTCATGCAGTGGACGATCCTTAGCTCAAGGTTCTCACCGGTGAACAAATTTATCTTCAGTATTATACTACATAGTTTCTCTATACCACAGATACCTGAATAAATATTTCGTTCTACCTACACAAGTTTTATAAATGTGTTGACTGGATTTTGTAATGGACAGAGTAGATTTGTAACTAAATGAAAAGAATCAAACCAAACAAATTGCAACACAATTGGACTAGAACACAAATTCAAATAGATATATTACTGGATAATAAACAATGTTATCTACTCCGAACTGTTGGTCGTATTCTATTGACCAAGTTACAATATGGCCATCAATTTAAACGATTTACCGTCCTAGCGTATTGCTTTTATTTATCTACTTATTTAGATCTCTACTAAGGACTAAATCGTTGGATGTTGATCACTACCCACAAATAGATCAGTGTAAACATTCTAGTTCTGCGAGATGTCATTTGAGACTACAGTAACTTGATGTTAATATCCCTTACATTGGATATTTGAAAAACACGGATTCCGTTCTCTTTGGTACTCCCAGTTCTTTCGAAATTGAAGATATGCCTTGATATATAAAGTATTAGCTAATATATATCCACAAGGCCCCTTGTTTCAAACTATCCTTACATAAAATGAATTATAATAATCAAACTTTACTAATATATGTGGTTAGTAGCCAATTAAGAAACTTCTAATCCATAGTCATAAACTGCCAAAATATCTGTCTGATTGTGAGGAAAACTGCCTTAAATTTATAAAAATGATTTTCGCAATACTCATAGTTCACTACTCGGTGCTAAGCCAAACGTATAAAATATTAAATAAGTTAGTATTTGGTTTCGGTTAATTGGCCTCTTAATTACAGATGACCTGTGTTGTTGAGTTATAATTGACTGTACAGAATGATATATTCAAGGTCGTCTGAAAATGACTAAAAGATAGACTGAATATGAGCATTCTAACACTAGCTGTGTTAGAATCTCACCAATAAAAGCGTTTAACACTTTATTTTGGCATTAGTTTAAAACACTCGGGACAAATTGTGCATACGATTTTCCCTAGACTATGCTTAAAAGTGTCAGATGTGAATACTCTGCCAAAAAAACGTATACACAGTCATGTAGATTGGTCAGATCACTTTACCATAAAATTTCATCTGGACACCACGTTAATAAATATTATTCGATGGGCTCGCCTAGGCTTGATAAAAAACTAAGTTTAAAATTGATATGAATTGTAGTTTGTACTTTGTCTAGAGCAAAATTTTAATTTCATGACTCATAATGGATTTTGGTTTTATCGAACAGTCTGTCACTTAAGTTGTAATAAGGTTGAAGGATTATGATAAACGAAAAGTACTCGTTAATACAAAATATGTATTTCGGGAGAATTAGAAATAGGTAAATTCAAAACATGCATATCAAATAGAAGATAATGACGTAAATCCTAATTATAACTAGATCAAACAAATGTATATAAAACACGAATTTCAGCGAAGGGATCTCTTTTCAACGAATTTATTATCAAGCTGTACAATCGTATATATATATGAAAATTTTTTTTTGTTTTTGTAAAAGTACTAATTCCGTGAGGAAATGTGAACACAGTTAATAAAACGGTTATAATACTAGATTACGTAATATGAATAATAACAATAACAATAGATTTAGTGATTATAATAACTGTGTTCACATTTCCTCACGGAATTAGTACTTTTACAAAAACAAAAAAAGATTTTCATATATATACGATTGTACAGCTTGATAATAAATTCGTTAAAAAGAGATCCCTTCGCTGAAATTCGTGTTTTAATTTTGATGTTTAAATGGGAATTATCTGTCAAATGTATATAAACAGGCAAACATTTATTGTTCACCAGTAGTTGTTTGTAGGTGGAGTGAAAGAAGAGTCTTGTCATGTAATATAAAACTGGATGATGAATGCAACATGAATAGTACTAAATTGAAGTTATGATCAGTTGTTATGAGTAAACAATAACTGAACTCGAAATGTGAAAATCACGTATGCATTTGCTTATGATATGGTCTGGATAAGAAGTGATTATAATGCTGACCAGCACTGGTAATTAAGAGGTACGAATAACATAATATAGCAGACATCTTCTTTACAGTACAATATCAATACTAAGTGCACAATACAAAATAATTCAGATAGAAGAACATTAAGACGAGTAATTTTATCTTCGATGTTAACTGAACATGTAATGTATTCGTAATAATGAGACATTTAATAGGCTAGTAGCATAAATGCACACTTAGAAAACACTCAAATTCCATAAAGTATCAGAGAGTTGTCTCGTCTTATTTCGATACTTCGAAGTATACTACACATTGAAAATCATCAATCTTTACAATGAACACAATAAACTTAAGACATTCGTTAAAGACTCAACTGGTCCGTATTTTTTCAATCCACTTTAGAATAGTTTGTTAAAAGGAGGCAAATGTTTTACACAAATTGTAGCAGCTAATATGGTTCTATTAATATTATATTCATCTATCTAAAATAAAGATGTACTTGATTGCTGTGTTTGAGATATTATCATATCACCTTGATACAAGCAACACAATAACAGGACGAAGCTAGGCTATTCTTCTGAGGTCCTGCCCTGCTAATTAGAGGAAGAAGACCGAGTCAGTGGGAAAAAGATATAATTCTATAAGCAGCCTGGAAGAACGAATACCAAGCACTGAACTCATGAGTAATACATACAACACAAAAATGTCTTTTTCTTAAATATACGCTCCACGGTATAATCTTCTGGACACTTGTTACCTTATCTTATAATTTTTATAAATGTTATCTCACTGTCTATATTGTTCTGATCATTGACCTATTTCCGATTATGTAACATTGATTCAAGCCTTTATTATTCTTAGAAAAACTAGTACACTTGTCATCACACCATCAATTTGTACTTTTCACTTATCATGTATATTAGAGTAAAGCCTGATGACGATCTAATTGAAAACGATTGTTCGCTTATGTGTTGTTCTAATTTTCACAATGGAAATCTTTAATATTATGTAATTTCCATTGTTATCATTGACTCATAAACTACCTTGATTGGTATATTAAAAGACTAGTATTTGAACAAAGAATATTCTTTTCGATAAATTCTCATCAGGTTCTACAATTATATATCCAAATTAATAATCCGAAAAAATGACCAGGTTAAGGGCAAAGTACATCGTTTAGAGCATGTGAATTTAGGATTGTGATAAACAAAATACAATAAAATTGTTAATGTTAATATGACTCATATAAAATGTTAACTTGAATCTGCGTATATATTAAGTGAAATTTTAAGATCCATGATCAGAATAAATATGGGTCGAATAGGGTGAGAGAGAAATAATGGTGCAATTACAATTCGATCAAATAAGTAAGACGTAATACGGAGGGATGAATGCGAAGTGAATGAATCATGTATAGGGAGATTAATGATGTTTAACCAATAATACGAATAATAATAATAATAATAATAATAATAATAATAATAATAATAATAATAATAATAATAATACAAAGATTTATGAAAAAAGATAACAGAGACAATTATAATTGACTGCGGAAGGTAGTAGTCAAATTAGATCATTCAATAGTTAAGATTACGATTGATTAATTCGTCTTGATATTAGCCAGGGGAGGAGGAGTGGTTGGAAATATTTCTTCTGTACGCATAGCTCCGGTATCTTCATCCCAATGGCTACTGCTTCAGCCGTTTGAAGGACTTTAAGACAGACTAGTTTTGGCAAAAATTACTGACCTTATAATTAATTGAAAAAGATTGGTTTATACTGGCACTGTGACCGGTTTGTACTAAATGGGCCAATATTGAGCTGTTCACTTTCTTTATCAAACCTTTGTTTACCCACACTGGAAGGTGTTCACGAGCACGAAAATGTGAATTTCTAGAACTTCGACCAATATAACTCGCTCCACAGGAGCAGTCGAACTGATAAATACAAAATGAGTTGGTCATTCTAGGTAATTCATCTTTTAGCCTCGGTGTAAATATTGAGCGCGTAGAAAATACTAATCGTAGTTCTCCGGTGTTAAAAGATGTTTGTATTGCCCTAAGTAATCTCTGAATTAATATTTCACTAACCGCATCCTCTCTGAATTGTAGACGCATGAACAGGGATTTCTTCTTCACTGTTTGTA